ACCCTTTCTGATCATTCAGTTATAAAGTTATAATATATTGTAATACAATCAACCTTTCTGATCATTCAGTTATAATATATTGTAACAAAATCAACCTTTCTGATCAGTCAGTTATAATATATTGTAACACAATCAACCTTTCTGATCATTCAGTTATAATATATTGTAACACAGTTAACCTTTCTGATCATTCAGTTATAATATATTGTAACAAAATCAACCTTTCTGATCATTCAGTAATAATATATTGTAACACAATCAACCTTTCTGATCAATCAATTATAATATATTGTAACACAATCAATCTTTCTGATCATTCAGTTATAATATATTGTAATACAATCAACCTTTCTGATCATTCAGTTATAATATATTGTAACACAATCAACCTTTCTGATAAGTTAGTTATAATATATTGTAACAAATTCAACCATTCTGATCATTCAGTTATAAAGTTATAATATATTGTAATACAATCAACCTTTCTGATCATTCAGTTATAATATATTGTAACAAAATCAACCTTTCTGATCAGTCAGTTATAATACATTGTAATACAATCAGCCTTTCTGATCATTCAGTTATAATATATTGTAACACAGTTAACCTTTCTGATCATTCAGTTATAATATATTGTAACAAAATCAACCTTTCTGATCATTCAGTAATAATATATTGTAACACAATCAACCTTTCTGATCAATCAATTATAATATATTGTAACACAATCAATCTTTCTGATCATTCAGTTATAATATATTATAATACAATCAACCTTTCTGATCATTCAGTTATAATATATTGTAACACAATCAACCTTTCTGATCATTCAGTTATAATTATTGTAACACAATCAATCTTTCTGATCATTCCAGTTATAATACATTGTAACCCAATCAACCTTTCTGATCATTCAGTTATAATATATTGTAACACAATCAACCTTTCTGATCATTCAGTTATAATATATTGTAACACAATCAACCTTTCTGATCATTCAGTTATAATATATTGTAACACAATCAACCTTTCTGATCATTCAGATATAATTATTGTAACACAATCAACTTTCTGATCATTCAGTTATAATATATTGTAACACAATCAACCTTTCTGATCATTCAGTTATAATACATTGTAACACAATCAACCTTTCTGATCAGTCAGTTATAATATATTGTAACACAATCAACCTTTCCGATCATTCAGTTATAATATATTGTAACACAATCAACCTTTCCGATCATTCAGTTATAATATATTGTAATACAATCAACCTTTCTGATCATTCAGTTATAATATATTGTAAGAAATTCAGTCATTCTGAACCAGACATTGATAATTCATTATAACAAAATCATCTATTCTTAACAAGACAGTAAAAATACACTATAACAAAATAAGTTATTCTTAACTAGTCAGCAAGTAGTTTGTAAATAGACCTCTCTCCTGGTCATGATAAATATCATTAAAATTGGGGGTGCCTATGATTTACCGGAACCACAGGTTTGTAACAAATGATAACGATAACTTTTGAATTGTTGAGATATGATGAGAATCAGCAAGATAAAACTGGTGATTTAGTGACAAAGTTTATCAGAACTCGAATGAATCTGTTTCAATCATGTCGATATTTTTTTATCAGTAAAAACTGAATTCTCACTGGTTTTCTCTGATTTTGCTGTCAAAAATTACAATTTATGGTGATGTGTGGCCTCTCGAGTCAGTGGATCAATCGAGTTTTAGAGGTAAACTATTTGGGGCGTGCTAGTCATTCTAGACAGACGACGATAACAAGGCTCTGTCTATCTGGAGACTGGGCGTGATGATACTGTCAAGTTAAAAGACTAAAATGTTTCGAAATCCTTCCCAATTAGTATGTTATGAAATATAGTATGTATATGTTTGGCACCGAAAATATTGAAATGTGTCCAGAATATCCTATATACGGTCAAGTAACCTAATTTCGTGGTAACCTATTTTTCGTGGATTTCTGGAAATGTTTAAAAATTTACATGACCGACCTTGCGCGCGACCTTTTGATAAACATGGGTTGTCTCTACAATATCAGCTAGTAGAATGAATCCAGTAGTTTCAAGCAAGGTAAAATGTATTACAGTGGTGTAACCTATTTTCGTGGATATAAGGATTCAACACCGAATTTCGTCAAAGTTAAAAAAACGAAAAAAATTTTTTATGTCTTAGATGTTTCCTCAGATATTCTACAAAATAATAAAATTGGTTTGTTTCGATTTTCTTTATTAATCCTTCACTTTGACCGATAATTCATGAGCAACCAACTCGGTCACGACGAATGAAGTCTCGTGATCAACTAGCGGATTCCGTGTCAGCAGAAAATTTCTATGGAACACAAAGTGGACCATATTCTTATGTTGTTTCAGTGACTTTTAGCAATAAATCACGCTACGTATCTTATTTTGTCAGTCACTATTTTTTTTTAAAATCGTGGTTCTTTGAAGGAATTGTCACTAGTTATAATGAATTGATATTAAAGATAAATACTAAGAGAAGTTAATTATACCACCCGGTATCCATACAACGTGTTTTTCTAGACTTACTTATAGATCAAACATTATACACGA